GCACATGCCGATTGCCCAGGCCAAAGCCTATTTGGCACAGATCAAGCAGAACTTGATCTTTCCCAAGGTCATATTGAGGTCTCATGCCCTACGGCGATTAACCTCCAACATGACCTCCGACATCGTCCCCTTCACTCTCGAGATCCACAACAGGTGCCAGGAGAGTCAAACCACATACCTGGCTCTGGAAAGACTGAGCTTCAGCTCAGTATGGCACCTAATTGGAGGGACAGTCCGACCAGCCAAACTTGGCCGTGGCCCACTGGAGCGCTCCGTAGAGGAGGCAGCCAAGAAGCTTTGAGCTTCTCCGAGGCCTGCTTGCACCTCATACTAGGTAATCAATCAAACTACTGCTATGGTAACTCGGTTTTAACAGCTTATCTATGGTCTGCCTCCCAGGCTGATTTCGATTCCGCACCGCCTGATGTTGGGCTCCGGCTCGCACTGCAACAGGTGTTAACTCGAGCAGGCGCGCTCACTCACCTTTGGTCTATTCCTGAGTGGCAGCAAACAGTCCAGACATGGCCTTCACAAGGCCAGCAGGACGCTGCGGAATTTTTGCAATTCCTGAGTCCGAAGCTCATATCCTTCAGCAGCGCCTGGGAAGCCCGCATTCCTCCCACCTCACCGGAGCTTCCCTCTGAGGTTGTTGATGCCGGTACGATGACACCACTGCCGCTCACCGCTAGTGTCCGAGCAGCAGCAGAATTTTCAGGCTCACCAACCTTGCAAGCACTCATCAATCAGTGGCATCAACAGACTGTGCGAGGCCAGACAAGAGTACTTGCGGCCGCTGAGGGCACTCCGCCCCTTCTTTTGCTGCAGGTAGCACGATTTGATGATCACAGCCGCAAATGCCTAGGATGCATCCAATCTCCCTGTAAGGTAAAGTTCCCCCATTTTACTCAGGTGAATTGCCAGGTAGAATGGGTCAACTATAGGACTTCGGCCATAGTGTACCATTTAGGCCCCACCATTACCCGTGGTCACTATCGTGCAGCCTTAGTCCAAGGCACAGGCATCCGGTTTCTGACTGATGACAATCGCAAGGCACAGCAGGTCACGCCAGCTTCCGAAGTGATAGCTCTACGAAATTCGTATGTATTCTTCCTCATCAAAGACGAGGCACAGATTCTGGATGCGTAGCAGTACAGACCCGAGCTACCAACTTTTGTTTGCACCACAGTTTTCGCGCTGCACTCCACTTGAGCTATCCTATGTTACCCTTTATTTTATCATTGATCGTTGCATCTCTTACTACTCGTCTGCTCACTTTACAGTCTATCGCAATAATGTCTTCTATGCTCCTCGCACAACAAGGCCCTTCGGGGCGGAGGATGCATAAAGACGATGGAATGCAGATCTAGGCTTGGGGGCTACAAGTAGCGTGTCGAAAGACGCCGGCAGCAAAGCTGCTGCTCCTGACGCAACGCGGACTCTCTCTGCGGCGAGTGAGGAAGATCATCATCATCATCACCATCATCATCATCGCCGTCCGCATCTTCATCGCCAGGATCTTTAACACAAGGCAAGGATTGTCATCTTTATCACCACCAGGATCATCTTCCTCATCACTATCCTCAACATGGCACGGTCACCTTCACCATCATCCTGGCATCATCCTCTCTGCAGAAGAGAGGACATGCACACGGCATGAGCGTCAGTCAGCATGTTCGCATTCTCCGACCCCAAACCTTAAAACCCTAATGTAGGGGCGTTCATACTTACCTATACTATTTTTGGTGGCTTCCTTATTAAAACTCTTGTATGATATACCCCCGAACCCCTATTCTAATTCTCACGGCCCCTACAGTAAGGCCTCAGAAGGGTTCGAAAACCGGAAGATCCTAAAATCCTAAACTCCAGCTTGCCTTGCTCGGGCATGTCGCAGGTGATCAGCCGGGCGGAGCAGTTCGTGAGCGAACCTCCCGCCAGGTGTCCTCGATCTCTGGGTTTAGGGTCTAGGGTTTAGGGGTTCAGGGTTTGGGGTTTACGGTTTAGGGTTTAGGGTTTAGGGATCATGGCCTTCTGGGTTTAGGGTTTAAGGTAGAGTTTGTGCACATCAAAGTCGGCAGTCTGGGGAATTGTTTTTGATGACGCTTCCCAGCCTCTGACGGGATTTTGGCGTGGCTTTGGAGGTTGAGGGCTTGGGGGTTTGCAGTGTTTGAGGGTATATCAACAGCTCAGTGGTGGAGGACTTCCCCTGAACCCGACGACCCCAAGTAGAGCACGTAGGCTCGTAGCGGTTTAGGGTTTAGGGTGTAGGGTGGTTTCCCATACCCTCCTGTCCAGCCTAAGGCTTACGTATTTGTCCTCATATTAACCTCGCACAGACTAAACCAGAACATGCATAAGCTCACGAAACAGCTAGGTTTTGTGCGATGTGCCCAAGTATGGTGTCCCAAACTCAAAACCCTAAACCTTAAACCCAAAACCCAAAACCCTAAGCCGCAAACCCTAAGCCCTACACCTTCAACCCCAAACCCTAGACTACTTTTGCGGGCTCTAGTGGAGGGGCCTTAATACTTAGAATAGCGTTTTGCGGGGTATATTCTGCTATAGTTGTAATAAGGAACCCCTTCAACGTAGTATAGGTACTCATTGTACCCTAAGCCCTAAGCCCTAAACCCTAAACCCTTATTTAGGCCCCTATATGACAGTGATACAGGGAGAACCTGGCTCGGAGGGCTTCTGGACTGCGGTTGTACCATCGTTTAGGGTTTAGGGCTCAGGGTTTCAGAAGGGGTTTAGGGGTTTAGGGTTTGGGTTTCGGGTTCAGGGTTTCAGATGTTCCGGGTTCAGAAGTTTAGGGTCTTAGGGTTTAGGGGTTTCGGGTTTAGGGTTCAGGGTTTCGGAAGTTCAGGGTTTAGGGTACCTGGAGTCAGGAATCCCACTCTGAACAAGAAGGTTGAGGAACTGTAGGGGTAGTTCCTCAGGCTTCGCTATAGTGCCCTGTAATGACTCGCAATCCAAGTCATCGTATGCAAGCTGTGCATGAAATTACCCACGCTCCAGAAGCTTTCGAGCGAAATTTGCACTCTAGAGTCTAGAACAGACCGCAGAATGCCATCCCCCCCCGAAGCGTCAATAAAGCCAGTGAACCCACAAGGCATCACCACAGCATGAGATCGATTTCAAGACCACCCCAGCAAGCCGAGCAAACTAGCACCACAAATAAAAGCCAGAAACTAGCCCTAAACCCTAAACCCTAAACCCTAGACCCTATACACCAGAACCTAACCGGCTACCCTCAACCTGTCAAGCAAAAATACTACAACCCCAATCCCGAACCCTGAACCCTGAACCTCCAATCCATAAGCCCTAAGCCCCAACACCCCCAATCCCTGAACCCCGAACTCGAAACCTTGAAGGAAACCCTAAACCCTAAACCCTAAGCCCTTAAAAAGGGGCTCCTTCCTAGGACTCCCTTTGGGAACCCTCGGCCCTAAACCCTAAACGCT